TAATTAGCATATATAACAATTGAGTAATAATGTTATTCTTCTATATATTTTTATTGCATTAATTATCTTTCCCTCATTTTAAAGAGATGAAAAATTATATATTATAAGCTTGATCATTAATATATATTTATTTTTTAATATTTTTGAGAGTTTATTTTTAATATACTAAATATTATTTTAAATATTACAAAAAAAAAAAAAAGAACCCCTAAAAATGCATTGATGTAGTTGTTCATAGCTCTCATTAACCACAAAAAAAAAATCAAAATAATTACTCAATTACAAACAAAAATATAATTCATCAGTTATACAACTCAAAAACGTTCAATTAACTTCTCAAATAAGTTAATTGCGTGCAATTAGACTAATTTGAGCAATATTATTAGTAAAATAGCTGACATGTCATTTATCGGGTGTATTTAATGAATATTTTTATGAACTTTTAAAAATTTTAAAGTGGTGTTTGATAGTTAGCTAATAATTAATTGTTTTATTTGTAATAATTTAACGTAATAGTTAACATAATTGTGTATGCGCTCGCGCACTAGTTTTTACGCGTATTGTGTGAATATGATAATGTCTAAGGTTTATTTTTAAATAAATACTTCAAAGTATATCAATGCAAGATTATATAAGAGGTACTCATGCATATGTAATTCAATGTTGAGTTTATTTATTTAAATCGGTAATTCAAAGTATATGAATGCAAGATAATATATGAGATATTGTATATGACTAAATCTTAGTTGTATTATATATGAACTCTTGATTTTGCAAGCGTCTGTTGATATTTGGTAGTGATAAATTTTCCCTATATGTCTCATGTGTTGTGAGATTTGTGTCATAGATTCTCATGTGAAAGTATTGAACAAAATATTATGAAGTAATATTTATTATATTTGTAGAATGTTTATGAGTAGTACATGTTGTGTTGTAGTTTCATAACTTGTTTACTTAATAGTAACAACAATGACTCTGCAGGTAGTCCGAATACTTATATCGCAATGTGTCCAGTTAGTCCACATCTATGTTGCACATGTTCATTTTGAAGTACAATATATATATATATATATATATATATATATATATATATATATATATATATATACACACTAGTATTTGTCCCGTGCGATGCACGAAAAATATGTTATAAAAATATACCATATATGAGGTTTATTCATATATAAGATTTTTGTTATTTAATAATTATTATGTGTGAATTCCTATGATAAAATTATGAAACATAAATATATTCACAATTAAAATAATATTTAAGGTGGGTGATTACTACAAATCTTAAACTATATTAAAAATTTAGTACATAGTATTTAATATTACAAAATTTTAAGAACTTAGTAAACTACAATAGTAATTGAATTACAATTTTAGAGTCACCACGGATCAAAATTTTTAGACCTTTGAGATTTCTAACTCTAGATGTAGCAACATACAATTGACCTTTAAAGACCAAAATAACAATCTTAGTTCGAACATTGATTTTTTCTTTCAAATACTATCGAATTAAGTGTGTAATCAATAAAAGATGAGAACTAATAATTCGAGAATATAAGTTTAATGTTACTAAGCCTACTTCACGTCAATTAAGTTGGAGAGTGTTGTTGGATAGTATCCGATGAATCCACGAATAACGCATATTTGTCTCCGTAGTCCTCAATATGCACATCAACAATCTTAAATATTAGGCCGCCTAGCTATACCATATATTAATTTCAAACTTATGAACTTTGGGGTTGCATGCAATAAAAAGTATATTTTAAATATACTAAGGGTACATTATATATGTATGTAAGGTACTTTCAATATAAAAATAATGTATTTTTAATATATTAAAAATGTATTTGATATTCATGATCCATACAATTATGTGGACCATCGTTCACACAATAATTTGCTAGTAGAAATTAAAATATAAATAAATAAATAAATAAATAAATATATATATATATATATATATATATATATATATATATATATATATATATATATTAGAAACTGTCAGTGAAAATTATTATCATTATTATTATTATTATTATTATTATTATTATTATTATTATTATGGTCTTGTGAAAATTAAATGTTGATTATCATTATTTAATTTTCACAAGACCATATAGCTTTATTATATATAGGATATATATATATATATATATATATATATATATATATATATATATAATGTCTTAAACTGATAGTCAATTAAGATGTTGGACTGAAGTGTTCGTCAAAGAAATCAAGACAAGTTATGAAGAAACACAACTATGGAACAAATAATAGTCGAGCACCTTGTACGTGCTCAGATGACACCTCTGTAACTCTCTTTAAGAGAAAGTCACATGATTGAATTCTGGTGGTGGGGTATTGATTCTTTGATCTTCAACAGATAGAGAAAGTATAAAACAAATACTACATTATAATAGAATCAATAATATTAAAAAATGACACAATATCGAACTAATTAATACAAATTATTATTAAATTAAACATCACAAAATAATATATATAATTAATGCTCATCAATAAACAAAGGGTTATATACTCGAGAGGGGAAGCTCCCAATACCAATCACATTATTGTAACTTTACTATTTTTACTCCAACAAGAATACTTGGCAAATTTGTAACCAAGCTTCATATTAGGACAAAGAAAGAGTCTTTTCAGACTTATTATTGTTCATCATTTGTTATTATCATTGTTAGTGTTTAATCCATTTATTACCCATCACATACTAGAGAAGCAACACAAAATAAAATTAACTAAAAATTTAGACCAAACATCACTAACAATATTAGGGGAAAAAAACACAATGAAATGTACATAATAAATCTAAAAAATGTAAATCACACAAAAGATGATCGAATTTTCTAGCAAATCAATTTGCACAAACAACTGTTTCATAATGAAAATGTTAGGTGAAGTCATTTTGTCGGTGAACATTTTTTCTTGAGCTTAAAATTTCATAATTCATTGTCTCTAGGCTTGCGTAAGATTCATGTAACCATATTCTCCAACTTGGGGTAGTAAGTAGTGCAATTCTATCAACTTTCCTATTATGTCAATATGTCCTAGTCTCCTAGATGTGAAAGAATTTTTTTTTTTATTTTTTTTTTCTAACACCCTAAGAATTTACACCAATCCGGATGATATGATAATATAATTTGTAATTTGTGTTACTTTAATATGAGGGAAAAAAAAACAATTAATTTTGATCCTATATTACAACTTTTTTTCTTTGTTATTTTCAAGTTCAGGAAAAAAAAATGCCAAAGTGTATGTGACATAATTTTGTAAATTGTGTCTTCGAAAAATAAAAATAAAAAAATAATTTGACACTTAAAACAAAACAATACACCTAGAGGATTTTTTGCAGTTGTATGGTAGGCCAAATGGCCAATAGTTAATTCTTCTGAATTAGGTGAAAAGGAGTTAATTCCATTTTTTGTCCTATAAAATATAGGTGACAATTCATTTTAGTCATTTTTTATTAGAACATTCTCATTTAGTCTTAGTATTATTGTGACATGATCATTTTTAGTCATCCTTCAACAAAATCGTTGAAATATCATTAAATATAAAGACATTTTAATTTTTTTTATACAAAATAGGTTAAACCGCTATATTTTTTATGTTTATTTAAAAAAAAAAACATAATTGAAAACTGAAATGCCTTGTATTTAACGATATTTAAACTGTTTTGTTGATAAATGACCAAAATGGTCATACCACAATAATACTAGGACCAAAAGTGAATGTTCTAATAAAAAAGGACTTAAAGTGAATTGACACCTATAAATCTAGGACTAAAATTGAAATTAACTCAGTGAAAAATTAGAAAACTGATAATACTTTCCCATTGGGTTAAAGTTTTATTGAAATTTTAACAAAAAGTATGACAAAAACACAAAATTGACCAAGAAAAATGGGGTGAGATTTGAGGGTTGATCTAATCTAGATCAACGGTTCAAATTGAAGAAAAAATTTTAAAAATAAAAAACACCCTTCCCGTCAACATGAATGTAAATGATCAAGTGTTTCAAACTAACACATCTTAAGCTTCGAACTTATGCATGTTTAGCTGAAAAATAATTTACCTTAAGTTTTAAACATACCCCAAGAGTTAAACTAATGCACCTTAAACTAGAAAGTGTCGCATCTTAAGCTTTAAACATACTCACCTTAAGCTATAAACTTAAACACATTAAGCTATAAACTCACGCACAAGTTTCAGACTTAAAACACCTTAAACTAACTTAGTCAGCTACAGCACTTAAACTATAAACTTACGCACTTTAACGTTTGAACTTAGGAACCTTAAGCTTTAAACTTAAGCAGCTTAAGCTATGAGCTTACACAAAATGACTATAATACCACTACATTTTTTTTAATTGTTCTTCATTTTGAGCTGTTGGTTTTGACAAAATCAAAGGTTTATATATATATATATATATATATATATATATATATATATATATATATATTTGATACACTGCAAATGTTGAAAAGAACTTGCCATTCTTATGTGAAATCACGCATCAAATATTGCAATATTAAATTTGAAATATTGCACTTTTCTTTTACAGTAGCAGAGGTGGTAGTTAATCATCAAAGCTCAGTTTTTTATGTAGGCCTGGGAGGCTGGGATGATATAAATGTAAGTAACCATCATGAATTGGTGCTGTGAATCTTTTCTTTTTTCACTTCCAATATTTCTCTCTTCTCTGTTCTTTTCTGATATCTCTCTCTGAGTCTTTACTGCGGTTTTTGTTTTAATGCTACAGTGAAAGAGCACAGCAGAGTTTGAACTTTGAACATTGAATATATCCCACAACACCAGAATTAAAAAAAAAAAAAAGTTTCTATTTTTGTTTTTGGTTTTTCCTTCTTTTTTTTTTTTTTTTCTCCAGCAAAAGCTTCTTATTATGTGATGTTCAAAGTACCAAAAGTAGCACACAATCTGAATTAAGGTATCTTTTTTTTTTTTGGGGTTTGTTTAAGAGGGTGGGTCTGACTAGGGTTTTACTTGATGAGTATTTATGAGGGTGAAATCAATGTCTGTGCTCTATTGACTAATTCTGGACACTTTGTCCAGCTCTTTATTGCACTGGGTTTCTGTTTTCTTGAACATTAAAGAAGAGGTTGGGGAGTGGGGTCTTGAGTCTTCATTAAAGCTTCAACCTTTGTTGCTTCATTTATGCTGTTTTCTATCCTGCATTTTGTTTCTTCAGGTGTGAATTGAATTGGGTATTTGGTTAATTCTTTTATTTTTTAGTTTTACCCAACTCTTTGAGGGTAGCTATTCAAGTTTTCATCTGTTTTGCATATTGTTGAGCTTACTTCTTCAAGAAATATCTCTAATATGGTCTAAAGATCAACCTGTTTATGCTTTCCAATTTCTCCATTGTTTATGTTATCCAATTTCTCTATAGTTTCCTAAATTGTTTCTAGAACCCTGAAAATGATGGATCTTTTGCAGTTGAGTTTCTCTAATTTCGGTGTTTTTCCTGGAAAATTCAAGCAGTGCTGCCTGTTTTCTTTCTGAATTTTTCTAGTGTTTTAAAAAATGGATCATATGGATGAGTTCGAGGCGGAGAGGAGAGCTGATGATGATGATGGTGGTGTGAACTTGTTCAACTCATCTAATATGAATACTGCCAATCTTGGAATGGGAATGGTTCCTAATTCCAATCCCAGCATAGACTCATTTTGCTCCGCAATCTGGGATCAACCTAACCCGGTAAACCACCTAGTCCTAGGCTTAGGTGATGCCAATAATGTTGAGTTTGAACCATCTAGAATTAGCGGTGGAAATGGAAGTTTTGGTGTTCCTCCCAATGGAATGCTTAAAGGGAGCACCTTGCTCCCACCCGCTGTTCCCGGGCTACTCCCCCCTCCTCGGTTTTTACCTCATTTTCAAGTTGATTCTGATTTCGTTGAAAGGGCAGCGAGGTTTTCGTGCTTTGGTGGAGGGAATGTGATGAACCCGTTCAATACTCTCGAGTGTATCAATGCTCATTCGAAGGGTTTAGCACCACCACCGCAAACTCAAAGGCCTCGAGAGGCTTTGGTGGGGAATGGCTTAAAAAACGAATCTTTACCAATTGGTCATAATTTCGCTGAAGAAGCAAAAGAACGAGCTGGAGTATCTGAGGCCGAGTCTGATGGACTCGAATGTTTATCAGAGAGTGCAGTTGGGCAGTCTTCTGCAAAGGGACTTGGCTCCAAGAAACGGAAAAGAAGAGGACAGGTATATATACTATATGAAACTATGGTTCGGTGCCAATTCTTCGTTTCGAGCTTTATATCGAATGAATGCCTCGTTTGCTTGGCAGGGTGCTGAACTTGATCAAAACAAGAGAGAACCGGGAAATGACGATAAACAGGGGTCCCAAACTTCAGATACTCCTAAAGACGAATACATACATGTTCGGGCCAGGAGAGGCCAGGCGACAAATAGTCATAGTCTCGCAGAAAGAGTGAGGCTGCTGCTTATAGAATTTCCATTTTCTTGCACTATCCGTGAAATTTTCTACGTTTCTTTGTAGATCGATTTTTATACTCCATATATTGCAGGTAAGGAGGGAAAAAATCAGTGAAAGAATGAAGTTTCTCCAGGATCTCGTACCTGGTTGCAACAAGGTTAGCCTTATATATAGCTCTATTAGCCACAATTGAAGCATCTGCTCCATCTCAACTGAAAGTCTAAGCTGATAGTTGAATTGCATATTTATGGTGATCTTGCAGGTCATTGGTAAAGCCGTAATGCTGGATGAAATCATTAATTATGTGCAATCACTGCAACGACAGGTTGAGGTATGCAAAGTTAATGAATCATTTAATTCGATGATCCTTTCTGTTAGGATCAAACGCTTACTATTATGCGAAAAGCTATAACTTGTAGCGTAGACGCAATTTTATTTCCTAATGCCCGCCACATTGTATGTATGAATCATGAATGTTATGTGAGTGGGCTTATTTTTCTTTCAGTTCTTATCGATGAAGCTTGCAACGATAAACCCCGGGCTGGATTTCAACTCTGATGTGGTCTTTACAAAGGAGGTAAGATTTCGATGTTCAAGAATCGTGTGTGCACATTCGCATATATGCCGTTTAATGATAGAATACACATTATTCGCCATTGTATTGCAGATTTCCCGAGCTGCTTCTTCTTCGTCTTCGTTAGCATTTCCACCCGATATGGCTATGCCCTATCCACCAATACACTCTCCACAACCGATGCTGATTCAAGGAGGCCTTCCTGGCTTGGAAAATTCCACTGTTGCATTGCATAGAACCATCAATTCCCAATTACCAAACACAAGTGAGACCAACAAGGATCATCCTACATCTAAGGTAGTGCTAGTATGTGTGTGCTTTTAACATGTATTTGTAAAGTAGTTAAGGTTGTCTTTGCTTACCCACAAAAAAAAAAAAAAACGAAATTCCCTCGCCCCCAGAGCCCCCACATGCGGGCCCGACTGGATAGTAGAGCGATAAATCATGGTAATTAGGTGGGAGGACCAGTGTCTGGTGCCAACAAAGCGCCCGCCACATTGGTGTAACTCTTACATTGTTGTTGTCAAAGTTTGGTCTTGTGTCCTTGCCCATAATCTACCACCCAGGAATTAACTGAGTTAGCCGTAAAGTAGTTAAGGCTGTTTTAGCTTGCCCACAATAGTGGAGGGGTAGATCACGGTGATTCAGTGTCCCATTAGGTGAGAGGATCAGTGCCTGGTGCCAATAGGGAGCCCATCATATTGCGTGTAACTACCACACTGGGCTCGATCCTGTGTCGTTGTCCATAATCTACCACCTAAGAACCAACTACACTGTCGCTAAAGTAGTTAAGGCAATCTTTGCTAACGGAAGAAAAGAAAACATTTACTTTACATTTCAAAACAAAAACTGAAGATTTCTAAAAAACCATTCATGTTAGTATTAACAATTTGCAGGTATCTAACACATGGAGTGAGTTCCATAATGTTTTCCAGATGGGTTTCAACTCCACTGCTCCCCTCAGCAGCCAATTCACGAGTAGAATCCGAATTTCTGATCATAACTGAACTTCTTTTTTGTTTTTTTTTTTCCATCTAACCAAAGGAACAGAAGCACTTTAGTAACCTTGAAATCTCTTTTTCTGCATTTATAGGCTCTCTACCACCACCCGATCTTACGAAAACAGAACCCTGACTGAACATTTTATTCGATATCTGTTGCTATCTAAGCCTGCTCGCTCTCATCATTTCGGCAAGTTATTTTTTCCAGTTCTGAGGCCTCCTGTAAAGTTGAATATCCAGTCAGGTATTTCTCAGTATGAATTGGAAGCTAAGCTATTCATCACCATGATACACAGTATACATTTGATGCTGTTGAGTTGTACAGGCAGTGAAAGTGTAAGATTTTCAGGAGAAAATGCAGTTGTAAATTCAGTGAGAGTTGATAAGGCTGCTACTTTTACTCTTCAATTGGAAAAGGAAAAGTTCCATCATTTGAATTGGCTAGTGATGATGATTTTGTTGTATTGGTTTATTTCTTTCTTTCTTTGGTGTAAAATCAATCATTTTTCTCATTAAATACTGCGTTTTTAAGGAGTTTGAATTGTGTAGCATAAAGACTCTTTTTTTTTTTTTTTTTTTTTTTGTGCATAGTGTAAAACAAATTTCATGAGTTCAGAAAGCTTGGAATTAATTTTAGTTTATCTAAGAATTAACTTTGTAGCGTGGGATCAACTACATTTGTCAAATACGTTGATATTCATTTAACATATTCCAAAATAATCATTACATCGCAAATTTATAATTGAATCTATATTAAATTATTTTGTAATATGCTTTTCAATATACACTAACAAATCATCAGTAAAAAAATTTATCACCATCTTGTTATAAAGTGTAATCTTTAACTATATTAATCGCAAAAAGAAATAAAAAATGATAGATACTATTGAAAGAATGAAAACATTCACGCATATTTAAAAGACTATTGATTATTTTTTGAAAACTATCATCCTCACAACATAACATAATAGCAATTGTTTTCTCGAACACGAATACTACATAATTTTTACATTATTCTATTAAATTAACTGTAAAATTTACCACATAACCACAACATAAATCCACAAAATTAACGAAATAAATGCATCTTGATATCCATTTAGAATCAAACAAAAATAACTATTTAAAATAAACAATAAAATACGAAACAAAAATTAACCAAACAAGTTAGAAAAAATGGGTTGCCGTGTTTATATGGAAACGGATCATCTTAGCATTAGCATTGCACATTGTATCACATGTTATCCACGTAGAAAAGTGTTTGGTAAATTAGTTGTTAGTTGACAGTTGGGTGTATGAAAGTGTTTGATAAATTAGTTATTAGCTATAATAGCTGATTACATGCAAAATGACTTTCTCAAAAAACTTGTCGAAAAAATTACTTTGAACAGCTTTTTGAATTTTAGCATTTTGGAGTAATAAGTTGTTATAAAAAGCTAATTAATCAAATACTCTTATTGATTGTTTAATCAAGTCAAACAACTAATAGTGATTAAATAAGTCAAAATTGATTAATAAACTAACTATGATACCAAACAGGGCCACACTTTTGTTGAAACTGCTAGGGAAATGGATTCCCGTTTATATGGAAATGGATCATCTTAGAGCATCCCTACTACGGGTTATTTGGGAGATAATGTCAACAGAGTGTAGGAAAGAGAATGGAAGGGTTCATATGCAAAGACCTGGTTATTGGAACAATAACTCTACACAAATCTGAAAAAACAAAAAGGAAACGATGTGTGCGTTTCGCGCACAACTTGGCCAAATCCGGGTGCGTCAGGCGCGCCAGATGCGTCTAATAGTGTAATTTAAATATATACATATATATATATTTTTAAATTCAAATTTTTTTCTTTCTTTTTTCTCTCCCCTCTCACATTCTCTTTCCTAATCACATTTACAAAAATACTAAAAAACCATAAAGAAAATCAACTACTAAGGATGCTCTTAGCCTTAACATTCATTAGCATCAGCATTGCATATTGTATCATACGTTATCCCCATGACGTCACTGTCTACGCACCCACCAAACAAATTGCATGACTTCTACCTTACTTTCCAATTTCCATACCAAAAATTCCACAAACCAATATAAATTGGGATCTAAATCCAATCATCCTTTCTATCGAATTCAACCAACTGAGTTAACCCCACCCCACAACTGATTGTAATTTTTGCGAGCTTTTACAAATTATCTTACGAGCTAGAATTATTCAATCCTAGTCCACCTCATAAGGGCTCACAGAGTCGACCCGTCAACTTCAAGAATTTAAAAATTATAATATTATTCTATATTCTAATACTTTAATCTCAATAATATTAAATTCTTTCGTGTTTTAAAAATTAATATTCTTTTAATATTTAGTATTATATATATATATATATATATATATATTGTTAGCATGCGGATTAGCACATAGCCGGCAAATTTTTATGTGGATCATGGTCTGTACTGTGAATTATAAAAAAAATATTTTTAATATACTAAAAATACATTATTTATAGTATACAAAATAATATACTTTCAATATTCAAATAATGTATTTTTATTTGTCGTCTACACAATAATGATTGCTCGTAGTCAACATGGACTAACTTGAGCTTCACATTTTCGTGGGCTGAAAATTTTAGACTCTAACCTGTACCACGAATTTTGGTATACTTTGACAACCCTCCCACGGGGCAAATCATGTTCTTTTTAACCCTTGATATCAGACACTCCATTCTCTGACTTCTGCAGTTGACTCACCACCATCCACTCCATTCCACTCATCCTTCCAAATTTTCCCAGAAATCTGTAATCTCTTTGCATCTTCTTCCAATCACAGACTCTCAACCATTCTCTGGCTCGCTGAAGAGAATCAAGTTAGCAGCCACGATGTCAAGCTCTAAAAATGGCGAAGGAGTCCATATATTGCTCATCCCATACCCAGCCCAAGGTCACATTCTTCCCTTTCTAGACTTCACCCACCAACTAGCCCTCCGTGGCATAACCATTACTATTCTAATCACCCCCAAAAACCTCCCAATTCTAGACCCTCTCCTCTCCACCCACCCCTCCATCCAAACGTTAGTCCTCCCTTTCCCGGCCGGCCACCCTCTCCTCCCCGCCGGCGTCGAGCACGTCAAGGATCTCGGGAATTGGGGCAATGTTCCCATCATTAGCTCTCTCACCAAGCTACGCGCCCCCGTGGTTGAGTGGTTCCGGTCACATCCCAATCCCCCAGCCGCGATTATACACGATTCCTTCTCCGGTTGGGCTCAGGACGTGGCGGGAGAAATTGGTGTGCCGGGCATCTGTTTTAACAGCACCGCCGCCTTCTTGGTTTGTGTTTTTGATTGTGCTTGGAAGAACATCAAAGGTTTGAAGTCTATGGAGGTTGTTGGGTTTCCAGAGATGCCGAATTCTCCGAGCTTTGTGAGGGACCATCTACCATCAATAATAAAGAACTACAAGGAATCTGACCCTGATTGGGAGACTATTAGGAGTGGCATGGTTGAAAATACAGGCAGTTGGGGGTTTATCGTGAATACATTTGGTGCATTGGAAGGGAAGTATTTGGAGTGGTTGGAGAAGAAGAAGAAGAAAGAAAACAGAGTTTTCTCTATTGGGCCATTGAGTTTGATTGGTGTACCCCATGGGGGTGGTGGTGGTGATCAGAGGAGTTTGTTTTCATGGCTGGAAGGATGCCCTGATGAGTCTGTGTTATACGTAGCCTTTGGGAGCCAGAAGTTGATGAAGAAGCCCCAGCTAGAAGCTCTCACTATAGGGCTTGAGAAAAGTGGGGTGCGCTTTGTGTTGGTGGTTAAAGAGCCCACAGTGGAACAAGTGGCGCAGGGCTACGGGTCCGTTCCGGCTGGGTTCGAGGACCGAGTCACCGGGAGAGGCCTCGTGATAAGAGGTTGGGCCCCACAAGTGGAGATACTAAGTCACCGGGCCGTGGGTGGGTTTTTAAGTCATTGTGGATGGAACTCGACGCTGGAAGCAATAGCAGCCGGAGTCCTAATATTGGGTTGGCCAATGGAGGCAGATCAATATGTGAATGTGAGGTTATTAGTGGATGAGTTGGGGGTTTCGGTCCGCGTGTCCGAGGGTGCAGACACGGTTCCTGACACAACCGAGTTGGCCAAGATAATTAGTGAGTCAATGAATGGGCATATTGTGGAGAAAGTGAGAGCAAAGGAGTTGAGAGATAAAGCGTGTGATGCAGTTAAGGTTGGCGGGAGCTCGATGAAAGCTTTGGATGGGCTTGTGGAACAGCTATCCCAACTTAATTCACCTTCCAATTCTGGTTAAGTCTATCTAAATTCTAAAGCATCCTATTTAGTTTAAGCTAGCTAGCTAGCTTCTTTGCCTTGTCAGTTTCAAATAAATACTACAGGCAAATTATACCATGGATCATGGATCATGGTCTACTTTACCTTGTAAACCCTGATCCAAAAATAACCTTCAGATTTTGTATCAATAGTTAATATATTCAACACCTTGATAGTTTCTGTACCTGTAGCTATCATATTATGTATTAGCAATTATCAAGTCAGATTTTGTTTCTATAGTTGACACATTTTGTATACAATCTCGTCGTACCACAGTCAACTCTCAAATTACTTGGGTGCCAACCACAAACTTAGATAAAGAAATATGATTTCAGCCAACATAGAAGACCAAGTATGACACTATACCCTACAAATTATGTATCTGTCAAGTCTCCATAACAAAGGCAAAAAGAAAATATAGAAAAGCAACCTGTTCTAGGTTTCCCCTTCCACTCGGTTGCGCTCAGGAACTATTTACAGAAGAATTACACAACTTTCTGCTGTTATTCCAGCCTACAACAACTTCAGGGAGAAAATCCATTAACTAGAGTTCTTATTCAATGTTAGTCATATCGAGAGAATTAGTATAAGACAAAGTAATTACCTGAATCTCAGAACTGGCAAGAAGTTCCAAGCCTCTGTAGCTGTCTATGACCAAGAGTTTGAGACTTGAGCTTGGCAAAAGCAGGGCTCAGCAATTCTTGGAACTTCCCTAGAAACATTGCCCACTCTTCCTCATTCATATCTGCTAGCTTCACAAAGCTAACACTTGCAGAAAGCGGCTCATGTGCGCTCTGATTGCCAGATGATGCAGTAGCAAGGAAGCCCTTTTCCTGTTTTGCTCCTGAAATTTTTGGATACTTCAGATTCTTCTCCCCAGCAAAGGTATTCTTAAGAGACTTGGATATTTTGGAAATAGTCTTGTAGTTAGCAGCAACAGGAATGCTAATAAAACTCTTTTCCTGTTCCTCGACTTCATTCTCCTCGTCCTCCTCAACACTTTCTTCAAGTTTAGGAAGTAAGGAGCAACCATTCCCTCCACCAAATGCAAAATGATTTTTGGTCATAAGTTCCAAAGAACCAAGTTTTTTAGTAGAGTTATGCACATCTTCACAATCTATGTCAAATTGAAACTCCTCATCATCCACTTCATCCTTGGGAGAAAACGTCGCCCTCTCAGCAACTAGCTTTCTAGCCTGGATACATAATACCTCCAGCCCGCTTGGTTCCTCCTCACTGCTATGAAATTCCCTGCTCATCATCTTGCCAATCTCTCCAAGGCACAGGCCATAGGCAGCAGCTTCCTTAAGGAAAATTGTGCAAAGGACCAGTACACGGAGGCAAGCTTCATGAATCATGGGGATCTCACTTCGCAGCAACTCACGGTCACGTAGAGGATCAAGCTGATCTATGTACTCAAGCTCATCATCTGAGAATGGAATAGAAGCTTGTGGCCAATGAATCCACTCAAAGTATGGATCTTCCAAGCTTTCTGGTAGGCAAAGGCCATGGTCAATGGGAATGAGTTCCACTTGATCAAACCTCCCAGCTCCATCAAGTTTCCTAACTAGAATATTTCCCGCATGCCTATCTATGTTAAATATCCTAATATCTAATATCCCAATACGATGAACAGAAGCAACTGGGAAGCTAGAGGTTCCATGGTCATTAGCATCACAATCATGTGGGATGAACTGTTGAAAAGATGCAATTTTGCTGACAAGTTGCTTTTTGTTTTGAGGCTTGTTCCCATTCATACCATCATTTACATTAAAAATTGAATGAGTGATCTTCACCAATGCAGTGGGAGGCACATTGGCAAAATGATCATAGTCGAGAAGATATGCAGCAACTTCCCTGAAACCTGTTTCACCAACCCTCACCGAACTCTTCAAACCAGGTTGTCCAAGGGCTCTTCCGATAAACCCATTTGGATTATTTGGGGCAAATGGTTCTTCATCTGTTGGCTTAACAATGGCAGTATTCTGACCTCTGATATTCCTAAAAAAATATGCCCCTCCGAGTCCACCATGAACAGGGAGGGGTTCAATCCCAGCCTTCATTGCTTTAGCAATCTCCTTGACAAGTTGTTTTGTCTTTGCAAATCTACTAGTCTTACCCAGTATCTCAATAGGAACACTTTGATCTCTCTGTTGGATCTCCCTCCCAGTAGGTGAAAGACAGGGAGTTGATGAACTTCTATGCAATGAGTTCCAAGTGAGAAGAAGAGGGGAATCATTCCTAATAGCACTTAAATCATTCTTCAACACGGTATCACCAAATGTCAAACAACTTTCCTCAGTTGGGAAATTAAGGGCAACCTGCAATCTTCTTTTCACAGTATGCACATTGTCACTGCGGTCTAACTCAATGCCCACTACACAACCAGTTTCAGTTTGCACAAAAACACGTCTCCAGCTAGCAGGTTTCCCTTCCATCATTTTGTTCCTGTGATACTCCCCGCCAAGGGAGCTTTTGCAGACAGCCACAGCCATTTGAGTCTGAACAGGGCTATCCAAGTTAGGAGACATGAAAAGATTGCCAAATTTAACAATGGCAAAACAGTGATGGCAACGACAGTCTCCTCTGCACTGTTGATTGGATGACAAACTCAGAAGCCAATTGTGAGTGAATCACAAAATACCCAAGCCATAAGCAATCATCTAGTGATAAAACACAGATCTGAGTCACCCGAGCAGTGCTCAAGAACAGATTAAGTCATATCAAGACAAATTAGAACAGAGAAATGGGACTATCCCAAACAATAGGATGGAGTCATCTGACGATTGGTGATATCAGTGCACTCCAATCTGCAGAAAACAACAAATCTAAATCATATTTCTGATCTAGTCTAGAACAATAAATAGAAAAACAATCTTATATGATGCAACAGTAGCAGAAAAATATATTCAGAATACTGTATGCACATGAACCACTCCTTTTCAGATTGACCCCATAAATTGGACTTGGTTCCGAAGCAGGAGGCCTCTAAATCACTAAGCAGCCAGAGATAATTCAATAAACAAAACATAGAGGGGCTCAGATTCTCTGTTTGGAACAGCCTTTTCATTTATTATATTTTCTGTAACTCTTAACTCACATAAATTCCTAAATACTAAAGAAGCAAGCATTTACTACCACTGAATCCATAATTAATGTCCAGCAATGGTTTCAATGTTTCATAAACCTAAAACTCCAAAAACTACAGGCAATCCACACGTTACCAAATCTAATTAAATGCTACCAAACACAGTAACACTATTACTATAAACACGCCCGCATGGACAGCTCAGTTGGTCCCAGGGATAAAATTTGGGAAGAATGACCCGGGATCGAGTTTCACCCGCTGCAGTGTGGGAGCAACCTCTCAAAGTGAGGGGAGCTCCTTGTACGCAGTAAATAAAGGTCTAGCCTCTGTGTTCAGAGGAATTATCATGATTTACATCCTCCCAAATGCTCGACCGGACCAGGGTTGGGAATTCAACCTTTTGGAAAGAACTATTACTATAAACACAATTGTTTCTAAAAAAAATCAATGTACTAATCAACAATAACAATAATTCTTGTTCCAGATCTACTGATCAATCTCTAGATATTAACTCCAGCATTTAGTAGACGATAACGGGATTGAAAAAAAAAAATTATAACGTAAAAAATACTCCGTAAAACAACGTGAAACAATAAAATCTCATTACCAGGCATTTCCACTAAGGCACAAACTAAAGACACACAATTATTTCCATAAAAAATCACTATACTCATCAACAATAATTTCATTTTTTTTTTCAAATCAATCAATACAGAACATCAGCATTTGGTGATTGATAACATACGAAACGTAAATAAATGAATAAATAAATAAAAGAAAGCAAAAAGATGAATGAAATTTGAGAGATTGAGTGAATAAAGTTACCTGATAGCCGGATATGTGAGATCGGTATACAGGCTCCATTGTTCGGCTCATTTTCCGACCACCGAGAATCCACATTGACCGTTCAACGCTGATCGGAGGTTCCGATATGCAAATTCTAGAAATCAGCCGGTGAAGTATACGTATACGGTATATGGATATCTATTGCTCCGTCCGGCTTTTGCCGGCTTCCTTTTCTCTTTCACGCTCACAGTGTTTATATATATCTATGCATGTATGCTGTATCTAATGCATTATCCACTCCGTATCGTATGATGATGAACTCGAAGTATCCGTATACTTGTTTTCTAGCTCTTCCTCTTCATAGAATCAGGGTTTCCATTTTCTGTTATCTTTTTTCTGTTTTTCTGTTAAATATGCAGAAGCGCAAATGTTGGGTCGGAACCAGCATTGGTTAAAGATCAACCATGGTCAGAGCTTTTGGTCTTCGCTGCCGTTAGATTGTAGAGAGGGTGAGGGTGACGGGGCGATAAAGGGTTTGGCAAGTCACGTGCGTGGCCCCCTCATTAATAATAAGATTTGTTAAACTTGTTTGATATCAAATCAAATCAAATAAAATAACACATAAATTATCATTTACTCCGTATTAATTATAAGTGATTGGCCCAGGGTACGGCCCAATGGATAATTGAGGAAGTGTGCCTGAGCAAAGGGAAATCCGTTTAGACAAGAGAGGAGTACAATCGTTATGCGCCCCGCGTTTCTCAAAACGATGTCATTTTGGGAGGCGCAGTAGGAAGTTGACATGATTATATATATCTGTTTATACAATTATGTATTTTTTTATTATATACATTTTTTATACAATTATGTACATGCGAATCAGGAAATTTTTGTGTATTATGTTAAGAGTTGATGTGTATTATGTTAAAAGTTGATGTTTATTATGTATTATGTTAGATTATGTGTATTATCTTTTAAAAAATAGTATGTATATTTTGTTATATAATTATGTACATTCATGTATACAATTATGTATATTCTAGTATAACATTATGTACATTTTTAAACATGAGTTTTTTTTTTTTAGAAAATTAACTGCCAAACACTGGATAGCGAAATTTCAAAAAAAAAAAAAAAATTGAAACGACGTCGTTTTGCATCTGGGCGCACAATGCAACGCGCGCCACGGTACAGGATATAAATTGCCAGAGGAGTGAGCTTAACTAGGGAGAGACCATTTAAGAAAGTGGAAGTGGGCTTCGAAACTAAGGGTACGTTTGGGGCAAATTATACTGTGCAACCGTGTGTACCATGCATGGTGCACGCTGTTCTATGTTCATAATTATAAGGAAAAAAATGTTAAATTGGCCCCTTAAGTCAAGTGGATAGTGCAATTGGATCCCCTAAGTTTAAAAAAAAAAAAAAAAAAAAAAAAAAAAAAAAAAACTTCATTCAAGTCCCCTAAACCGATAAAATTATTTAATTAAGTTCAAGTTATCTTGTTTATCAGGTTAAATGCATATGGTGTTGACACGTGTCCTTATTTTATTTTTTATTAAAAATATTATTTTATTATAAATTAATTAAAATAATAATAATAATTAATATATATATATATATATATATATATATATATATATATATATATATATATATATATATATATAAAGAACTGTGGCCGTCCGATCACAGTCGTTTAAGGAAGACTGTCATGATCAACGAAGGAAGACGGCCATGGTTATCTTCTAGATCTGGACGAGGGCTACGGCCTTAGCCGCCGCTCTTGTTCCAGACGAAGGGGACTCATCGTTCCAGTCCCCTCCATCTATATAAATTTTATAAATTTATAATATAAAAATTATGGATCTATAGTATAAAATTTATGAATCCAATTATGTGTGCACCTTTATACATCCTATTATCTCTCTTCCTCGAGAAAGTAAGAACGGTGTGAGGTGGCCCATAGTGAACATTCCAAAAAAATGCCACTTTGTTTCACACTTTGACCATCTATCTATCTCACAAAATTTCACTAATAATACACTGCAGTCTTGCTCTCCAAGGAATCAAATCTCAGCTGCGCTCTTCAATTCTTCTATATATATTACATCAAATAACTGCAACTCTGCAACCACTATAACTTATAGGTTTTCAACGGCAGCGGATCGGAAGGGAAGATGGGAAAAGGCAATAAGAAAGTGTTAGCGCGGCGGCGATGGTATTCTTCAGTCTGCAGATCCTTCTTCGCTCCGTGCTTTTACTCGGAGTCGTCGTCGGAGAAGCGTGCTCCTCTCACGCCGTGCAAAGCCGCCGCAGCGCCGCCGCCTTACGACCCGGAGGCGGCTATGGTGGCTTCATTCAAACATTTCTCTTCTGCACATAAAGTGCACTTAGATCACTGATCAGCATAATATGTATTTCTATTAATAACAACGCTTGCTGATTTTCTTTGTATATGGTATGTGTGTTTTGACTGTTTTCTAGCTAGATTGTAGAGGATTTAATTTTTGGGTGTTATTGCTGGTAGGTGTCCTTTTCATGAGAAGAAACGTCACTCATTCTCTGTAATTAGTTCTATTTGTATAACATATTTGGTTTCATTTTATATACATTGTAGTTTCATTTTAGCACAGTTACAGTTACAGTAGGCACTTAGGCTTTAGTCGGGCGGTAAACAGTCTAGGCAGCGCCTAAGCGGCCTAGGCGGACAATTATGCGACTTAGTAAAAAAGAAAAAAACAGTGCCCATGTGTGGGTATATATATATATATATATATATATATATATATATATATATATATATATATATATATATATATATATATATACATATAAAATAAATTAGCAAGGCCGCGAGCTGACCGAGTTAACTCGACTAACTCGATCGAAATGGACGAATTAACTCGACTGAGTTAGGCGCTTAGTGCGGCTTCCTAGGCGGCCGAATTGGCCGAGTTAGGCGCTAGGCGGCCGGTCGCGCGCCTAGGCAGGCGCCTTGAGGGGAAATCGCCACGGTCTAGGAGCGCCTAGCACCTAGACCGATTTTTGCAACAGTGAACACAGCTAAAGTTTCATTTTGTTTCATCTACCGTTTCATTTGACATTATACATACAATAGTCTTATTACAGAGAGACATGTTATTGAATTTTATTTTATACACACTGTAGTCTTATTAAAGCACCACTAAATTATAATTTTAATTCAACTACGATTTCATTCGACAAGATACACTCAAATATATAAAATTGTTATTCAATTTCATTTTATAAACAGTGTAATTTTATTACGGCACAATTAAAGTATCATTTTGATATAACTACAGTTTCATTTGACAATATATATATATATATATATATATATATATATATATATATATACTCAATATGTGAGATATGTTATTCAATTTCATTTTGTATATATATTCTATAATTTTATTTCGGCAAAATTAAACTATTATTCCAATTCATTTTAGATATACTTATTCAACTATCCACAGAGTAAACCTAATCACAATTTATTTTTAAGATTATCATTGACGCCCCGTCACAAGGTGATTTTTTTATATAGGTATATGTAGTTTCAAGTTGGCTTATTGAAATGATGTATAAATACCACGTGTCATGGACTTAGACTTGCCTTTACCTACAAGTAAATTATTTTGATGCTGACCTTCATTGATAATATGTATAACCGATTCTTTGAATTTTCTTAAATTTCAAAATCGTCCAAAGATTAGAATATCGAATAATATAATGCTATTTTAAGAATAATAAATTATATCAACCTTATCCAATAATGTAAAAAATTAGTTAGGATTTGATTTTAATATTACCATGTTATATATTCTATGAGAAAGTTTATTGTCTGCTATCTAAATATGCATTTTGGATTAAATCGGTATTCTGACTTCAAACGGTAAAAGACAACGAGGTAAACCAACAACAGAAGCTCCCTTATCATCTCTTTGATGCACAAATTTTAAGAAGAACTGGTCGTCCCTGTGAATGGAGAAGCACAAATCGGGGCCTGCGATCGGTCGATTCTGGTGTGGGAGAGCGAAGAATACCGCTGTGTTAAACAGAGAGTTAACATAAAATGTAACTGAAGACTACTTTAGGTAAAGTTTTAATAGTTAAGGGACTAAATTGAGCGAAAAATTAAACAGGAAACTTTTACAAGCAAATCGCAATAGTCAAGAGACCCAGCTTGTATAAACTCGGATGTCTTTCTAGTACAAAACCAAACTTTATAGTTGTCAACAAACTTTATCGGTCTTACCATGTTTGAAATTAATAAGATAAGGACAATTTCAGGTAAGTTAGTTAAATTAGACCATGTTTGAAATTAATAAGATAAGGACAATTTCAGGTAAGTTAGTTAAATTGTTGACTTGATAACCACAAAGTTTAAAATTTAATTTTCAGTAGAAATTGTTTATTAGTATTTTTGGCTTGAATCGATCAGCTATAGTTATCAATATGAATCTGATGGGGATATTGGGGGTGGGCCACGAACGTAGTGGGCTCAAGTTGTTGGGCCAGGGGGTATGGGGGGTTTCTTGGGCCGGGGCAGGACGCCACGCCATCGGGGTGGTCGGCGCCCGCAGCTAGGGCGGGTCGCCGGTCGGGGCGCTGATCCCGGCCGGCGATGTCGCGCCCAGCGCGCCTGGTGCGCGGCTGGGCGTGGGCCCGACGCCCCTATCGCGGGGGTGCGGTCTCCCGTGCGCGGGTGTGCGGGGTGCGTGTAGAAGGCGCGGGAGTTTAGGAGGTATGGTGAACGTGCGGATTGACGTACGGAAAATGGGGGAGTGGCGTCTAAGCACGTGGGACACGTGGATGTCTGGAATGGGAAGGGGCAAGCTATAAATAGGGGTCCTGGATTCTCAACAAAGGACAACTCAGACACGACATGCACATTGGTTTAGTGGTCCTTGGTCTATACTCTCAACCCAGCCACCTGGGTTTGATTCCTATCAGTAGCATAGTTAGTTATAGCCCACCCCGTGGTCCTTGTTCTTTGTATTTGTGCCGCCATTCTAGGCTTTGTACCCATTGTTTTAGGCCTAGCGCCCGGGTAATAAAGTTACTCTTTTCCTACCCCTATTCTGTATCTCTATACACGATTTATGGTGGACCCGGTCCTAATAAAACCATCATCTTTTGTTTGTTTTTTTCCGATACTCATTAGACAAAGAAAATTCTCATGAGTTTTATAGTGTTTTCTTAAATGACTATATTTATTTTATAATCTCTTGGTTGATCATGAATCTTTAATATTTGTGAGTATTTAAAATTTACATGTTTAATTTCTAAGACTATGTATGGTACCCGGGTTGGACTTCCATTTGGAAGGTTGTGAGTTCGAGCCTCAGTGGAGACGTTATTGATTCTTTGTGTTTTAGTAGGTTGAGAAAGTATGTGAACATATACTACATTGTAATAGAGCCAGTAGCATTCAAAAAAAAAAAATTACATGTTTAATCTCTAATTCTTGAGAAAACAAAAAAAAAAAAAAACAAAACAAAAAAACAAAACAAAACAAAAAACAAACAACAACAAAAACAAAAAAAAAAAAACAAAAAACAAAAAAACAAAAAACAAAAAAAAAAAAAAAAAAAAAAAAACAAAAAACAAAAAACAAAAACATTTACTGGTCGGTCGGGTCCCCTATATTTCTTTTTAGATAGAAGAATATTCTCCATGTATGTTATGCCTTTTGTTAATTGCTAAAGTTTGGAATTGACTTTAATTTATGTCTTCTTCATTTTGTGTTTAAATATTTTTTACATTTAACTTTTGGCTTTATTCTTTTTCTGGACTTTCAACTCTTAAAAGTATTCTACATTTAATTAAAAATATTTAATATACTTTAACTTTATAAAAATTTCACCAAACATTAAAGTGGAATAATGTATGACAATAAAAAATTGAGTATTAAAACTGAAAAAAAAAATAGTACTATATTCCTAAGATGAAAAGTAAATTGACCTTTTTTTTTTTTCTATTGTTTGCTTTTAGTTTGTAATTTTAATAAGAACCACATGCTACTACATGGTCAATAACCTCTTCTTTTTTTTTAATGTCAATCTCAATATAAACAAAAAATACTTCAGCAATCCAACTAGAAAGTGTATAGTTTAGGCTACTAAACAAACACCTATTGTCACAAACTGACTTTTCAAATGCATTCTATAAACACTATACAACCTATATATATATATATATATATATATATATATATATATATATATATATATATATATATATATATATATATATATATAACTGACCAAAATTTTACATTCTGCAGAAGACATGTTAACTTACAGAAACTGAGAAATTTGCCACCACTTGATAACACAAGGACTTCACAAACATGCTTCAAGTGTTCCAACTTGCTAGCACTTTGGTCAGCTGAAGAATTTCTGCTTTTGTGACTATAACCTGTAACATGGATTAGAGGTATGATGTTGAAAAATTTTGTAGGTGAATCATCCATTCAAGACAATTAGACAAAGGAGCTGGAAAGAATAATAAGCTAATGTCATTATTATAATAAACTAGTTTATGGCATCAATTCTGCCAATCTGACAAAAGTTGCAAATAAACTTTCCAGATGGGTACATATATGCCTATATTTTGGTAGCATGGACATGGAGAAACACCAAATAGGCATCATGGAGGGAGCTCAACGTAATATACTTCATTCATCAAATACCATATATGCAGTTTAGCTTTCTTTAAAGTATTAGAATAGGACTAAATTGAACAAAACACTATAGTACAGGGACCTCGTAGGTACTTTGACCATCTTTGACAATTTAAGATTTTAAATCTTGGGAAAGGCCAAGCACATTGTGCTCAGATGGCACCCGGGTTGGACTCCCATATGGGAGGTTGTGAGTTCAAGCCTCACTGGAGGCGTTATTGGCTCTTTGTGCTTCAGTAGGTTGAGAAAGTAGCTATGAACAGATACTACATTGTAATAGAGTTAGTAGCATTCAAAAAAAAAAAAAAAAAAAAAATCTTGGGAAAGAAATTATTTATTCGAAACCAAAATTGATGTGAACCCCACAAACAGAAAGCAAAAGACAGGATGGGTGTAAATTCAAGGCCCCTAAACCCCCTTGCATCAAGAGTTAATAAAAACATGGATAATTCATTCACTGATGCTATTGATATGTCCTTACCTACAAGTTCCTCAATAGGGAGTCCAATAAAGATGTGCATCAAAACCTTGTCAGTTGTTGCAACATCTTAGAAGCATTAGCCTGTGAAACCAGCTGCTCCGAATTTGGAGCTCTTATCATGGGGTTTTGACCAATATGGTCACCCATCCCCTGTCTAACCATCTGCTTAGCATTATTTGCACTTGTGCTTGTTTCAGCATGTGAAGCTTCCATCAATGAGCGTATCTAAGCAAAATATGACAGTTTCAAAAGTAAACCAACTTGAAAGAAGGTAATATATGTGTGTATGCATGAAGAGAAATAGGTATAACACTCTTTACTTACCATATCCAAGCGCTTTTTGTGGATATCACTTGATGGCTGCAATAAAAGTAAAACCAGTATCATTTTTTTTGAGTTCTAGCTCATTACAAGCTACAAGAGTATTGACCATACTGCCCTTAGTAATAGAATTTCCTAACCCATCAAAGGAAATAAAACAAATATTAATCAGCAACAGCATATTTTATCATCTTCATTTCTCGGTGGATGGGGTGGAAGGGTGAAGAGGTGGAACAAGTTCTGATTCAAGGCCTCAATTGTGCTCTTAATGACTAAGCCTAGCCTCTTAACCCAGCTCAAATATTAGCACATTAGTCTACTTCAGCTGGCCATTACAACTAAAGATTTTTTCATTTACAGATGAATAGCAGAAACACAAATTGAATATACAATTTGGTTGGAATTCAGAGAGAGAGATAAGACTTACATGCTCTGATTGCTGTTTCCTCTCCTCACTTGAGAAGCCTGGAATTGTCAAGTGCCAGTTCTTTTCTGTAAAATATTTGAGTTAATTACTGCAAGCCTCAATTTCCGAAAAGTTTCAGTGGAAAAGGCAAATGATTTTCCACCTCATGTTAAATCAACCATAGGGCAAGAATAATATGATTTTACAGTAGTGTACCCATCAACTCACATTCCAAAAAAAAACACACACACACAAGCACTGTACCACTTATATGCATGGATAACCCTTCCATAAAATCATATTAAGTGGTACAGTGCCCTGCCCTGCATTAATTGGAAAGGTTTATTTTACGGCAACCAATTTAAGTGTGCAGTAAAATAAACCAAAACAAATGCCCTCCATTAGTAATTTGAATATAATACTTTGCAAGACTTGGCATAACTACAATGATTGAAGTTATGAAGTCATAAATGGCATGATTCTAAAGAAAATAAATAGACAAACAACACAAACAAGTAAGCCACACTTGCAGGACAGACCTAGATGCAACAATACATCCTTTGATTCCAGGGTTGATGATTTTCTATGCTTCGCCAAATTGCAAGCGAATGTAGTAACCTGCAATAACCATGCAACAAAAGATTTCTATATATTAAGAAAAGGCAAAATGTAAATGATGTGATTTGCATAGATAGCTTCGAATGCCAGACACCAAATGAAGAAAGAAAGAGTATTTCAGAGCCTCACTGAATCAATGAAGTCATCAGCCATCTCTAAAAGAAGATCTTCAACATCAGGATCAAGCTTACCCAGAGAATCCACCTGGACCATTATAAAGATTGATCAGAGCACTTGAAATAATATCCTTATGGGATGAATTACTTGAAGCAACAAAGACATATCTTATAACATTACTCTATATGTCAGAAAGTCTCTTGCCAGATGTCAGATTCTTAAATTACTAATTTACTTTGATTTCGTATAGAGCTTAAAGTGGAAATAATTTTCAACCTAAAATGAAATTGAACTGATGTTCTTATGGTTTAACTATTATTCATAAAGGACACTCTGAAACAAGTGGATCCAGAGATTGAACCTGTGAAACTAGATCCTGTATTTTTCTCTTCCCAAGAAGTTGGTTGCTTGCTTCAGTTCCCTGGCTTGAGCTTCCCCCAGGAGTAGTGGCTCCAGATGCAGTAGCATCTGGTTGTGATCCAGTTAAACTCATTGATTTTTGGCAAGTGGGGGCAGCCATATGCGGAGAAGACTGCTGCTGTTGATGCAAAAGCTGCTGTCCAGGCTGTTGTTGCTGCTGGTCTGCTGGCTGCGACTGTTGCTGCATTGGTGCTGGTGGTGCCTGCTGCTGCTGCTGCTGCATCTGGGGATGCCCCATTTGTTGCTGCTGTACAATTTGGGATAACTGTTGTTGGTTCAAAGCCATTGAATTTTGTTGCAACTGTTGATTTGAAGCTAATTGCTGTTGAATAAGTAATTGCCTCTGCTGCTGAAGACGGAATGAAGGGGAATTTGGTGAAGAAGATAATGTAGGCATTTGCTTTAACCACTGCTGCTGAGCTAAAGTGTTCTGTATCATAGCTGATTGAACATTTGGAGTCAATCCAGATAACTGAGAATTCATAAATGACGTCCTTTGAAGGTTCTGTGCCTGTAATGTCTAGACAACATTGTGACGCAAAAACATAAACTGAGAAGAATGTAGCAGTCAACACACGAGCAGAAACTTTAGAACACAATGTACTGAAGACACTGGCATAATAAATGCTCTTAAATAACCTCTGCCTAGTTAGAAGTTAAATCACCTTAAATGGGAAAAGAAGATCAATGACACCTCATCAATAGAAAAAAAGAGAAAAGGCAGCATAAACTCTATTTTCATATTCTCACGCTTTTCAGCAAGTGTATGCGTGTAACAAGCCATTAGCAATGGAAATGCTAAAAAGAAGACATAGCAGGTACTTTTACCAAGATTTAGCTTCCCTAAAGTATGCCTTAGATACAAAGTTTTTCACTGCCAGTATGCCAGTAAGACTTGACTCAAATCCTGAACTAGAGTGAATTTAAAAAGTAAAAGTAAGCCTAAGCAAAGAGTACTAGAGTAGTACTCTGTATCATATAGTGTAGTCAGCTTAAGCAGCACAAAATTGTTGGTCCTTTCAATATTGCACTGAATTGTTGATTTCTAGTGAGAATTCAAACAGGAGTTATAATTTTAATGGTGGCATTAGTCAACGGGACATGGGATCAACGCAGAATATTCTGGAGGTAGAGCTGATCAGCAACTGGAATGGGGAAGAAGCCAAAGAAGAAAATTTCTAGAAATGCCAAAACGTTGAGTAGTATATCCCCAGATAGGCTAGAATTTCACTAAACACTATCAAATGATGTTGCCAAAGGACTATTTCTTATGCCTAATAGTTTTTCCCTAGAACAAAAACTAGACAATTCATGTTGCTTGGGAGTGAAAACTATTGGGTAAATACGTGGCCTAATATAATCTAAGTAAAACCTAATTTAAGGATACGACTGCAACTACATTCTTTAAAAGGTTTGCTACAAGCTTACCAATACTATGAAGTGAAAGAACCAAAACTAAATAAAAGAAATATTGCAAGAGTAGATTCTACCATAATGGATGCATACTAGCAAAATATTAAAATAAATACCTGATTGGAGGTGAGCGGAGTTTGCTGAGACACTTGCTGCCTCAGGTGCCTTTGCTGGGCATAAAGGGATCCATTGGCTCTAAGTTGAGAGCTCAAATTTAGAGATCCCATCATCCCCATTGCCTGAATTCCCTGCAATGGCTGCCCATGGGAGCTCTGCACCAAACCAGTCTTCGGCCGAGGCTGCACCAAGAAGCAAAACCACTTCAGATATGCACAAAGAAACAAGCTTTAACTCTCTCTCTCTCTCTCTCTATACATATATAGTAATGGACTTCTTTACACAATACATACACCACGCTAATATCCCTCATCAAAATACAGAAATATTCTTAACAAAAGAGGCCTTTTAGCACTACAATGGCTGATGGCACCCATTCCAGAAAAACTCACAAGATTATAACAACTATCTCTATAGGTCAAGCTCATATTCCCTGTATGCTTGGATTAAGATTCTGGAACAGGATCAGATAAACACACATCTGAGCTTTTCTACGTCTCAATGCTCAATTTTAAACTTGGAACTATATCATGCTAGGGGAATATAGTGTTGTTAAACAAATAGTGAATGCAGGTGAATAAAGAAGCAACTTCCATACCGCAGACAAAAATTGAGACTGCAAATTAAACTGAGCAGTCGCAGCAGCCATGACATTTTGTCCAGGTAACATGGAGAGTTGCCCGGTCTGTCCTATCAATGCTGATCTAGATAAATTCCCACCGCCAACCATCTGCCCCATTTGTTGCTGTTGGGGATTCTGCTGCTGCTGTTGTGGTTGCTGCTGCTGCTGCTGTTGCTGAGGTACACCAACCCCGCCACCACCAAAATTCATCTGCCCGTAAAGCCCAGCAGCCATTTGCTGTCTTGTCATACCAAACTGCTGCTGCTGTTGTTGCTGTACTTGACTCAACCTCGACATTGAGGGCGATCTCTGCAAGCTTTGCTGCATCTGAAAATTAGACGCCATGGCAGCCGCCATCATATTATTGTTGTTACTGCTACAATTGTTATTGTTGTTGCTATTACTACTCTGCTGCTGCTGTTGTTGCTGAAGCATCTGTGGCTGTTGTTGTGAAGGAGTCATGGGGATTTGCGGAAGGTCAACGGAAGGCGAGTGGGAAATTGAATTTGACGGCGAGGGCATAGCCGCCCCGGTCGCCGCAGCGACCGTTTGTAACTGCGTGTTCGACGCCTCCATAACTTGGTTCCCTGATTGCATTGGTTTCGGGGATGAGGACGAATTTTCCGCCATTTTCGCTCTATTCGGAAAATTCAACACCAATAATTTCAGAACTCCACTTCGGTCATCCAAAAGAAAATAGCTCTCGTCTCTACGGTTGGTAGGCTCCTTTCGATTTGGGGAGAAATTGCTACTATCGGAGAAGAAAATCCGCTAAGGAAACGTTATTATCCTCTATCTCTGTGTCTTGCCCGAGAAAATAAGGAAAGATGAGGAAGCGGCAGCGGTAATTTGCTCTGAAGAAGAAGAAGATGGAAGAAATTTTAGTTGCCGTGAAAGTAAATTTGAATGAACGCAATCAGATAAGTATGTTACCTCGAAAACTGGATCTTCTTGAGCAGAGAAGAAGCTTGAGCGAAAATTCTTTGTTATGAGAAATAGGTTTCCGGAGAAGCTGAGAGGAAGAGGAAGAGGGTTTCCGGTGGGAGAGATGAGATGCTTCTTCCCACTGCACACGGACACGGTGACTCCATGGAGAGGGAGCCGGTTCCTGTCCGTTTTCACTCGGGTCACATTTCGGGTCTTGTGTTACTTACTATAAACAATAGGTTATCTTTAAAGTCTTAAACCAATTAAACAGATTGATATTGGACAATTAACAAAAGAAAAATATAAAAAGAGTTAATACCCAAAATGGTCCCTCGACTATGCTACAATTACTAATTTGATCCTCAACTACCATTCTTACCCAATTAAGTCCTCAACTACGTAACTTTTACTCAATTAAGTCCTCAACTATACAATTCTTACCCAATTTAGCCCTCTGTATTAATTTGACTGTTTGTTGACTGTCAAAAATCGGAATAAAATTATAATTTTACAAGATTTCTCCTTCCTCTCCATTTAGCAGCGCCAAAACCATGCAGTAATACACTCCGATCAGATTTCGATCGTCAAAAAATCGTTGGAAATCAAATTCATGGGCTATCCGATGCATAACCACTACTTCGATATTGACAGGTTTAGAACCCAATCGGAGCTTATTACTACATGGTTTGGCGCTGCTAAATGAGGAGGAAGGAGAAAACTTGTAAAATTACAACTTTATTTCCACTTTTGACAGTCAACAAACAGTCAAATTGACAAAGGACTAAATTGGATAAAAATTGTATAGTTGAGGACTTAATTGGGTAAGAATGATAGTCGAGGACTAAATTGGTAATTACGACATAGTCAAGGGACTATTTTGGGTATTAACTCATATAAAAAGATAAAAATATATGGGGGGCTCGCGAGCGGCTCGACAAGTCACTAGCCTAAAATAATTGAGTTCGAGCTCGATTCGAATACGAAACAAACCGGTCGAGTTCGAAGTTGACCGAGCCCAAGCTAAGCTTTGATTGATCGGCTTGCGAGTAGTTCATCATCACAACAACGTTTTAAAAACATGGTGGGTCGAGATACCAAGTCAAGGCCCATCATCCCAAGCTTAAATATGGACTTTAGGATGGAAATGGTTGTCGAGCTTTGGCATCGGTGGTCTTCGCCCCTTATGTGCCTATGTCGTTAGGAGGTCATTCAGGTGATAAGGGGTTGTTTTGGGCTTCAAAAAGTGGTAGAATGTGGGTCCAAGGCGGGGTTCACACCCTGGTTCGACTTAGGTGTAGTTGTTAAAATGGGTTAGCTTGGCTCATACGGGCTGATTCATCATAGGTTGGGAAAGAAATGAGTCGAGCTCAACCCTACTCATTTCAATGAAAACACTAATAATTGAACTAATTGAGTTAGAGATTGTCCGAATCAATTAAGTTCGCATAAAGAACAAGGGTAAATAATAAAGACAAGATAGATATAGTAATATTTTGTGGATTGTATTACAAATGCTATTGTGTAATAAATAAAACTTTATTGTCTAAGCCAAAATATTACCAATTTATATAAAGAAAATGACTCAACAAAGTTCTTAAAACATGGTGGGTCGAGAGACCATATCAATGTCCACCATCCCTAACCCAAAGATGGGCTCTTGGTGGAAATGATTGTCGGCATGAGGGTGGCCTCAATGCTCGGGTCTCACCCTTTGGTTGGGGTTCTTTGTGTCATGTTCGGAACACTTCTCGTTTTTTTTTTTTTTTTTTTTTTTTTTTTTTTTTTTTTGTTTTTAATAAGAATGGGGCTACCCAACAGGAAGAATAATACAGGCTAGTCCAAAATATTTACAAAGCGCCAAAAGGGAGAACCATTCAAATCATCAGCAAGAAAAGGTTCAACTCCAACAGGGGGTTGCGACAACAAATGTATTCATTGGGGCCAGTTTCCGACAAGCTTAGCAAGGGCATCAGCTGTGGAGTTCTGCTCCCGTACAATCCAAGCTATCCTCCAATCCGTAATGCCGCGGAGTTCATGTTTGCAGGCAACAAGAAGGTTATGAATCATAGTGTTCTCCATACCTTCCAGCATGAGACCATATATGACTTCCTCCGAATCACTCTCAAACACCCCTCACTTTTAATTTATGGATCATAGATTCTAAGCTCTAGATAGTAGTATTTTGTTGAACATCAAGTTGTGAACTTTTTCTGAATCTAAAATCATGTACTCTTAAACTCCATTTTTTTCATTCTTAAGTCATTTTTAATATCTCCATAATTTACTCTCACAAATTCACCTCATCACTCAAAAAATAGGAAAAAAAAATTTCCCCCTATTATATCGAGCAAAATAGCCTTCATAATAATGGATTGAGTCACATGAGTCGACAACTCGTGAAACCGTTTTCATGCAAATTAGGTATGTGAACAATAATGCACAATGTACAACCCATAAATGGTACAACATTTAAAGCAGCGTACCTTTTCTGTTTCACATCACCAAACCCAGATACACCGGCGAAGCAGTCGTACTTACTGTAAACTCAAACTCTCCGGCGACCTCCACACCTGGAACACAGAATCCGGTAATCTTAACTCTCACAGAAGGTTTCGATTTTTCCCCGAAATCTCTAATCTCTTTACTCCTCCTTCCAATTCCCGGGGACCTTATTTTATTCAATAGATCTCAAGTTTTTTTGTTTTTTTAAAATAATTTTGATTTCGTTTTTCTAGTAGATATAAGTTCAATTCGCTCTTCAATTTCCTGAATTTATGTAGGTTATAGAAAAATCGTGGAAAGATACTATGAAAACTGTGAAGAGCCATGAGGAGGAAGAGGATGAGGAGGAGCTCGGTTCCAAAAGAGATGCTACGAATTCTAATAGTAATACTTCCAGAGGTTTGTTCTTCATTTCGTTGCTCTTTTTCTGAGCTTGAATTTTCTTCATAGGAAATTTTCTAGGCTTGGGTTTTGATTCAGAACTGTGAAATTATGAATTTGGATTTGTTGTTTTGGGATGACATGATGCTTCTTTATGTGGAATAGATGGAAAGAATAGTGATAAGGCTAATGCAATAAGGTCTAAGCATTCAGTAACGGAGCAGCGTAGGAGGAGTAAGATCAATGAGAGGTATAATCTAATTTCTTGTGTGGTTATATAGTTAAATCTATGAATTTTGTTTTTTCCTTTCAGTTATGTTTTTGTGGTGAATTTTGGTGGCTACTGGATATAATGATTTGGGGATTTTGGGAATAGAGGGGCTGACAATGGAGGTTTTGTTTTCTCTTTTGATTGCCTTGTTTTTGTCCAAATTATCTGTTTAACTTTCTCTCTGAAAATAAGGGGAAGCAGGGATGATATTTGCAACTCTTTTATAATAGGACAAACCGACAAACCATCTATCGACTCAACTTCTGAAAATAAAGAGAAGTAGCTTACATCAAAATCTCAAATGATTTTATGATGCATATATAAAATTTACAAGATTTAGACGATTGCGGTACTGACACATGCTAAAGGGCATATTGGGAGTGATCGGTGGTGGCAAGAGATAGTTGGACTATGATCAAAGTATCAAACTTAGTTACTATGCTTTTGTAGTAGTTAACTGTGCAAACACTTGGTGCTTTGAACCACTGTCAAAGCATCTAAAACAGCCGTAACCTCTGTTTTCTGACTTATAATGACATAAAATTAGTTTTCCACTATCTGCATTTTGTGAAGTTGCTTATATTTTTATGAGTTTGTTCTTCTAGTAAATGAAATTCTAATATTTCTGCATGTTACTTTTGATGTCATTTTTTGTTTATCTTTTTTTTTTTTTTTTTTTTTTTTTTTTTTTTTTAAATTGAGCTAGACTTGGTTATGCCTTTATGTATGATCTTGTCATCTCAGATGTGCATGTAATCAGAAGAAAAAATGGGAAAGGAAACAGGACAAAACATATACGTTTTTATGAACTAGCAGTTGCATTCAATACCATTTTTGTGATGTTTTGTTTCAAATTCTTGATGATATTTTATTTTGTTGTTTACTTTTTTTTTTAATTAAAAAATTGAGTTCAATCAGATTTCAGATATTAAGAGATCTGATACCTAACACAGATCAAAAGCGAGATACTGCATCATTTCTGCTGGAGGTACATTGCTGAACTAGAACATTCAATACATTGCTTTTTTATGCTCCCAAGTCCCAACCTTGCATTGAGATTGTTGCTGTTATTCATCTCTGTTCTTTGTATGCAGGTTATTCAGTATGTACAGTTTTTACAGGAGAAGGTACAAAAGTATGAAGGGTCATATCAACCTTGGAGTTCTGAGCCAACCAAACTAATGCCATGGGTAGACTCCTTTGGCTTTTTAATGTGGCTTTTTAAACTCACTAGGTTGCAATGACATTGGAAAAAGAAAAAGAAAAATATGTGGATAACTAGAAATGAGAGAACGGTCATGACTTCTCTAGTTTTATGTCTACATATTCTACCACCAATCCACCATTAACTTTCAGATGACGTGTCTTTCTATTTCCTGTAAACAAACTCACACACAACGTATGAGTGCTTGTCCATGCAACTTTATTGAACTTTATTTTGTTCTATGACTCTTCTATCATTCATATTTCTTCTATCGAACTTTATTTTGCTTTGTTTTGAGAAGCATTTCTGGATAAGCATTTCTGGATAAGGTCTGATGTTTAATCTATTTCTTATTGGCCCAGAGAAACAGTCATTGGCGAATGCAGAGTTTTGTTGGATCCCCACAAATTGTAAAGAATGGTACTGGTCCAGGACCGACATATGCTGGGAGGTTTGATGAAAATCCTGTCACAGTCCCTTCAGCCATGCAACCAATTCAGCAGAATCCAATTGAATCTCATCCTAGCAGTGATTCTGCCTTCAATGCGGTGGATTCACATAATGAGCTTGCTACTAAGGCGGTTACAACTCCCATGACTCTGCAGGCAAGTCTGCCTGCCGCTGTCCAAAATGAAGGTTCTTACTCCCACACCACACCTAGGCCTGCTTCTGATGCTCAATCAAATGAATGCCCGAACAGAATAGAAGCTCTGAGTCATCGTGAGGAGTCGACTATAGAGGGTGGCACAATTAGCATTTCAAGTGTTTATTCCGAGGGGTGAGTAACTGTATACTATTCAAAGTTGGGGCCTGTTTTGCTCTGAATCATCAGGAGAACCTCACACAAATAGATTCCCTTTCTACGATTAATATGACTGGCTTAAATTCTCTCCATTGGTGCTAAATTGTGGCCCCTCATTTGATGATTGCTGTTACTTATAGTGTCTTGGCATAGCTTATAGATTAGTTCTGATCTGCTCATCCGCAGAACCTCAGACAAATAGATTCTCTTTCTAACATTAAAACAACCTGCTTAAATTATCTGCATTGATGCTAAATAATGGCCCGTCATTGCATCTGCTTGATGAATGTACTTATAATGTCTTAGCATAGTGTGATGCCATGATCTTAGAGGATGTGTTATATCTCCACATATTATGTGTGGTAATTAAGCAATCAAGTAGTCTTTACATTTCACCAGCTATACTTTGATATTATTCTCGAATTCATTAGTTTAATTCGACCACCCCCACCCCCACCCCCCTCCCCCACACCACCTCCCTGGCTGTTGCTGCACTTTCTTCTCTGTACTTGCTCCATAATTTGGTTGAGAGCTACATGCAAATTTGTAATTAGTAAAATCTGTAAATTTTGCGTATTATTTCCAAACATAGTCTTAGTTGAGTTATTATTTTAATAATGATTGTTTATTTAACAAAGTAGCAATCTTACCCAATTTTTGTGTGAGAAAGTTATTATTGATGTACTCCTTTTCTTTATCAGGCTACTAAATTCATTGGCACAAGCATTGCAAAGTACTGGTGTAGACCTTTCACAAGCCACCATCTCTGTGCAGATAAATCTTGGAAAACGGGCAAATAGAGGATTAAACTCATCGCTAATGGTTGCCAGGGTCTGGAATATTTCTCTCATTCCAATTATCTTGAAAGTTGAAATCCCCTGATGGAAGAAGGGCTTGTGGGGGGGGATTAGTAAAATGTTATGTGTACTGATGCCCTGGTCCACGATCTGCCCTCTTCAGATACACTTTCTTCTTTCCTTAAATTGTATTTTTATTTGTTACAGGATACTAATGACAAACCGGCACCATCTGTTTGCCCAGCGGTGGGACATTTTCGGGACACAAGCACTGATGATGACTTGGACCAAGCTCAGAAAAGGCTGAGGATTTAGGTACAGCATACCGTACCTGAACTATTTCAAGTCAGTTTTGTGTTACGACCTGCCAGTTGAGAAAATAGTTGTGCATATGGTTTAGTCTTGTTGTTCTATCATCCCCCGGAGTTCATACCCATGTATTTGCTGTGTCATTTTTTTTTTTTTTTTTTTTCTTTTTCAACTTTGTTTGGTGAAGGTCATTGTCTTCATCTTAGTTTAATCCAAAACCCCAATAGAACTCCAAAACTTAATGATCTGAATCAACTAAACTACCATCTGTTCAGATTCATTCCTGAGAAAAAAAGTATTATTGATACTACTGTGTGTTTTAGGCTTTGCACAACACAACCCAAAACCAAGATTCAAACTGCAGTCCATATGTGGTCTTTCCCACCACCATGAGGTTATGTGAAACCATCAAATTTATCTAGGGTTTAATCGCCATCCAAGCTCTAAATGTTTGTTTGCTTACACTATCTGTACATGTTCATTTGGTGTTGTATAAAATTTTCAAGGAGTAAATGTCAGCTAGGATCCTTGAGTATAGTGGCACCCGTCACGTTTAGTCCTAAAATTTCAATTTAACTGCCCTTGATCCTGCAACTTTTAATTTTAACCAGTCGTGGTTCTTCTATAGTTTAAGTAAGAGCAAAGTTTAGGACCAAGGCTGGTTAAAAAGTTGAAAGCTGAAGGAAGAAGGGTGGTTAACTTGAAAAGTTGAAGGAACAAGGGTGGTTAAATTGGAAGTTTTAAGACTAAACGTGATGGTGCCACTATACTCCGAGGATCTCAACTGGCATTAACTCAATTTGCAAGTATCAGTAGAAACATATGTCTGCCATTATACAAGGATGACATGGTGCCATGGTGAATTACATTTCAGAGCAATTAAGAGTTGTTGACGAATGAGAAATAGTGTGTTAAATGGCTTCAAAATGTACAATGTACTTTCAATTTTTGAACATTTTATCAAGCTTCTCCCTTATACCAGAGTACCAGCAATGATATTTTATATCGAATTTAGTCGATTCAAATAAAGTTGAAGAATAAATTTGGTGAAACTAATAGTTATTACTAAAATTGAAAATATTGTTATAAGTCGAAACAGTCAAATTTGATATTAACTCTTTAATTTACTATTTTTTCTATATAAATAAATTCAAAATTTACTCGTTTAACATGGCTGAATATAGAGCACCAAATAAAAAAAATAAGATTCAACCTTAATCACCGAGATTTTAACTTATCCATATAAAACAAAAAATATATAAAACATTTAAATTAAATAGTCAATATTCTACTACTTTTAATTTGAAGGGAAGCAAAGATGCAATGTACATTAACTGCTTTTATTTCTAAATAAATAACCAGAGCTTTAATTAGCATAGGCAATTAGGCATACATACATTCGCATCTCTTAAAAAAAGTTTAAAAAAAATAAAAAAATAAACCAACAATAAATATAATCTTTTGGGGAAATAGGCCACCTGACCGCATAGCGTAGTGGATTAGCGCGTCTGACTTCGGATCAGAAGGTCGTGGGTTCGACTCCCACTGTGGTCGTTATAACTTTGTAATATATTTTTAAAATAAACTAATTTTTTCTCAACAAAATAGAAAAAAGACTGTTAATAAAAAAAATGTAAAACCCAAATTATAAATCCCAATTCCCAACCCTAGTAGGAGCTGAATCGGATCCAATCCAACCCATATAAACCTCGTTCACAACCAATTTAGGGTTTTCAGAGGAGTTAACTAAAGTAGCTATACTCGCCGGAAACTTCCATCCCTCCGTAATCCTCACAGCGCCGCCGCCGCAATGGTATGCTCTCTGCACCTTTACCGGCACTACAGTCGGATTCCTCATAGCTATGCACTTTATGTATCTGCACGTTAATTATGTATCTAATACACTCATTTAACATTTTTTTTTAGATCATTTCTGAGAAGAACCGAAGAGAGATCTCAAAATATCTCTTCCAAGGTGTGTATATACGCTGATACATTCATAAATGCATAAGATGCTTATTTTCGTATGTGTGCTCGTATTTTTTTTCTTCAATCTGAATAGTGCGTTGCGTGTTTTTGAAATTGCGTTGTTGTGATGATGAAGAGGGAGTTTGCTATGCCAAAAAGGATTACAATTTGGCGAAGCATCCGTTGATTGATGTGCCGAATCTCCAGGTGATAAAGCTTATGCAGAGCTTCAAATCGAAGGAGTATGTGAGGGAAACTTTTGCTTGGATGCACTATTACTGGTATCTTACAAACGATGGCATTGAGTTCCTCAGGACGTACCTTAACCTTCCCTCTGAGATTGTCCCCAACACTCTCAAAAAGTCTGCCAAGCCCCTCGGCAGGCCAATGGGCGGCCCTCCTGGTGACCGTCCACGGTAATTATGCATTGATTTCTCCACCATTTTTGAAAATCTAGGTTGGTTTCTCTAAACTGACTGTCTTTGATGTGATTTCCGATTGGGGCAGTGGACCGCCCAGGTTTGGTGATGGGGAGAGAAGGTTCGGTGACAGAGATGGATACCGAGCAGGTCCACGAGGCCCACCCGGTGAATTTGGAGGCGAGAAGGGTGGAGCTCCTGCTGATTACCAGCCTGCCTTCAGGGTAATCACTTGCTTTGATGTCCTCTGAAATCTGGAATTCATGAATGTCTGTTGTAGCTTGTTAAAAATGCATTTGCTTGTTTACCGGATCTTAGATTCCTTGTTGCACATAATTTAGAAATTAGGTTCAATTGCAAGATTAATTCCCAATATGTAATATAGTACTCCTTATAAGTTAGTCACTTAGTCAGTCCATAAAGCACCCATTGAACTATGAAACATCAGTATGCAGTCTGCACATTTCTGAACATATAGTATCATCAAATTATGGTTTTAGATTAGATGTTGGGTCGGAACTTTAGGTTATTCAAAGGGAAAGTCATGACTTTGGTAGAAATTGTGGCTCTATAGAAACTTAGGATGTTCTAATTTCTTTTCTCCAATTTTTCATTTCTTTAGTTATTAAATGCTCCATTAAATCTTTCATTTGTGTTGGTCCGTTGTTTCCAATAATGCTCTTGTATACACAGTTGCCATACGATCATTTTTGTACCTATAAACTATTTCCTCGATTTGTATTAACCGTTATGGCTCCTGTTCTGTTTTACTCTATTGATTAATTGAATTGAACTAAGGTTAAAGTTTTACAAATTAGAGACTTGTTACTTTGACCTGTAGGGTGGTGCGGGAGGAAGACCTGGATTTGGTCGCGGTGCTGGAGGATTTGGTGGCGGTGCACCCCCAAGTTCAAGCTTCTCTTAAATGTTTATTTTGTTGGGTTCCTAGTTGTAGGGGATGCAAACAATCTGAAGCATTTGGATACTACATTTACCCTCCTTGTTCAATCAACAATGTCAGAAAATGATGTTTTTAATGAGTGTTCCTCTGAACTAGTGCAAATTTTGATTTTGGATTTTAATTTTATCGTCATCTAAGATAAATCGTTTGAGTGGTAATGCACTCTCATCGCTTAATTGCAATTTTCCTTTTTCCCTTAACCCTTGAGTACTAGTTTTCTTGCTTGAGGATGTAGTTGATTGAGTTTGAGTTGCTTGTGATGGCTCACCCTCAAAAGCATTTGCATCAAGGCCATACACACTTATATTGAGAAAATGTTCATCATTTTCACCCATAAGCAATTCATCAATCAACAAACTATCTTCATTATCTGTTAAGAATTTTAACTTCCAAGTGTCTATCATTCAAGTTTTTGTTGTACAAGATATAAACCAAAGCATTCATCCTCGTTGTGGTTAAATGTGTTTTTTTTTTTGGTATGTACTTGATTAAAAATACTCCAATTTTATTGATTTCAAGTCACCATTAGATAAGATGTCTTGTCACACGTGGAAGTCTAGTCATTTTTATTTTATTTGAAAATTTGAATGTTTGATTGTGTATCAATCATAGTCACATTTATAATGAATGTTAATATACCGTAATCGTAATAAAGCATTTAAATTAAATAGTCAATATTCTACTATTCGTTTTTCATTTGAAGGGAATATTATGATATTGAAGTGAACAAAGATGCAATGTATAACTGCTTTTATTTCTAAACAACCAGAGCTTTAATTAGCGTAGGCATACATATATACATTCCCATCTCTTTAAAAAGTTAAAAAAAAAAAATAAAACGAACAATAAATATACTTCTTTGGAAAGATACAATCACCTGATCGCATAGGATAAATATACTTCTTTGGAGAAACACACTCATCTAACCGCATAGCGCAGTGGATTAGCGCGTCTGACTTCGGATCAGAAGGTCGTGGGTTCGACTCCCACTGTGGTCGTTTGTTCGCGCGCTTGAAAGTTTTCTGCGGTGCATGTTTCCCCTTTTTTTTCTCCAAGCACTAAATCCAAATATTTTCTCCAAATTTTCAATACAAATATGTCAGTTGATAAGGTTTTGTTGTAATTACCTAACCATATATATGAGTTATCTCAAGTTTTTAATGGTAATAATAAAGGATGCACTTTGTTAATTATGAACTTGCTATCTGTCACCTTGATTGCAAATTAACCAAAGTTAAGGCTTTATTTTGTACGAGTTGTGCATTTTTTTGAACTTGCTTATTATTACCAAAAAAATTTGTTATGGTAAACTGACTATTATTTGTTATAGAGTATAAATGTTGAGACTTATCTCACATCTTATGAATGATAGCTACAATCTAAAGTTAATTTCTAGAAAATATTACTAAAAACATAGCATGTGATATTTTATTCTTGGTTTTCATACCACAAAACAATGACATGATTTTGTGAAGTTGCACCTGTTGTTACAAAATCTTAACTTGCTCTTGTTATAACAATTATATGATATGAGCCTGAATGTTGTGATCTATCTGACATCGTACCATATGTTTTAAGAGGAGTTATAGCATGAATATTTAATATGGTTTTGCCCAGAAAGCAAATTCATAGCACTAATTATTATTATTATATGATAATAGCACTAACCAATAGGACAATTTATATGACTCTAGTGTCAAATTGACTTGATAATAATTCAAAAGTCTATGATTATTTGTCCAAATTCAAGCATATTGATGGTGCTAGTTTTATCATAAAATTATATGACATGAGTCTTGAATATTGAAGAAATCAAATATGAGTATTTAAACAAAATGATAGTGCTAAATTTTTAATATAGTTTTGCCCAAAAGGTAAATTAAGAGCACTAATTTTATCGGTCACCCATTATCTTGGCCCAAGCCCTCGATTATGGATATTTGATCAAAAAGAGTCCATAGATCCCAAGTCAATCCTTGAAGGATCGCCATGAGTCAATAATAAATAAATTATTATGATCCCTTAATGCATAGAGTGCATGATCGAGCAGTTAATTCTTGGTCAACCGGAAAGTTAATTATTGAATTTTACTTCTAGTAGTTTATGATGGACAATTTTAATATGTCATCACAAGTGTACGAAGCACTGTAGTAATAGTGAGGGGTGAACAAAAAAATTGGATCGATCGAAAAACCGAACCACTCGAATATTTTGATTTTCGGTTCGATTTCAGTTATTAAGGTAAAAAAAAATTTTAATTTTTCAATTGGTTATCGACTTTTCAAGAGAAAACCAAAAAATCGAAGATTAATCTAAAGGAAAAAATATATCTAACATCATCTCATTTACATTTTGTAAGTCTATAGTCTATCACATTAATTTCCATCACTTATTGAATTGCACGGCATTTGTTAACCAAATAAATATGATCCTTTAGAAATATAGGTCACCTGACCACATAGCGCAGTGGATTAGCGCGTCTGACTTCGGATCAGAAGGTCGTGGGTTCGACTCCCACTGTGGTCGTTTAAACACAAAATTTACTGATCATAGAAAAATTAGACCAGAAGACCAACCAGAAAATTAGACCTGAAGATTGTAGGAAAGCACCATAAAGACACAAATTTGATCACCAATCATAGAAAAATTAGACCGAAAGACCAAATGTAGCAAGATTTTAAAAGTCGAGAGACCAAAGGTAGAAAAAAGACACAAATTTGATCACCGGTCATAGAAAATTAGTCCGAAAGATCAAATGTAGCAAGATTTTAAAAGTCGAGACACCAAAAGTAGAAAAAATTCGAACAAAAATGATTTGCTAGATAATGCAATGTAGTTCTTCTGAACTGAAACAGAATAGAGGTGTTAAGACATGGTCTGCAAGCTAGCCTAAGATTCATAAACTAAATTATATACTTACAAAATACCCATGCAATATAAGCTTGTGGGTGAGATCTGATGTATTTATAAATGAATTTAGAATCTACAGCAAAGAAGACCCTGCAGCCTCCAACCCCTATTATGCTTCTGCAATCTCCTATCTGATTTCCTCATTTTCACAGGACTGCTATTCCACTCTGATTGTAATCTGCAACCCCAAATACACACATTCTTAATTACCACTTATCAAACCAGGGAATGATGGATAATAATGGCGTCGAAAACTCGGTAGAAACTTACATTGGGAACGCGAAGGATCTCGTGCTAGTTGTGCTGCTATCCGATCGAACAGAAATGCTCCCAGAATATGGTATCAAGCCCGAGTAAGTAACCGAACCGAGCCCAGAAAAACTAGCCTCTCCCTCACCATATTCATCCCCCCTGCTAGTAATTGAACGGTTTCCTTTCGCCTTTTCCTCGCTATTAGCTACTTCTTGCAACTCGGGATTCCCTTCTTCCTGAGAGGGCTCGGTTTCAGGCTCGAGCGTTGATATTGCAGTATGGCCCGCCAAGTTTTCGTCCCCGGGAGGCTTCTGCAGAGCTAGAAATCCCGTGGCACAATCATCCTTTTGGCTTTCGACTGAAACTTTACAAGGTACCCCCGCCTTATCGACACAAATATCTGTGAAAACTATCTGTTCGCCTGTCTTTCGAGCAATGAAATGAAACAGTCCATTCGGGTCATCCTTCTTCACTTGCAAACCTTCTGAATTTTTTTCAACACTCTCGGGAGAACAATCGAGATCTCGAACCTTTGAGAATTCGTCTGAGTTATTCGAACCAAGCACGCCTTTTTTGCCAAAGCTAAACAGATCTGCTGCCTCCTTGCCATCATTGCTTATGCATATAATCTCGGGCTGATTTTCCTTCGTGCTCGTTTTCTCTTCACTGCTATTTCATTTCAAACGTAACGGTTCAAAAATCATGTTTAGAGCAGAACAACACATTACAGACAAATTGAAGAATAACACAAGAACAATATAAGATTTTGGGATAGATTTTAAGGAGGCACAGTAAAGAGAGAACATAAGAACTTGGAAATTACCAGGTTTCATAGTTCACATCAGCGGGTAGAGCTTGGAGGATTCGCGAAAGCTGTGATGCAAACATCTACTGCCCAGGTAGATAAGACTGATAACCTGCCACATGATCTTGAAGATGAGTTGAGTTATACATTTTCAATGGAAACCAAAAAGGGAGGGAGGATAATAAAGGGATTATTAGAACAGCAAATCATGGTGTAACAAGGATGGATATAAATGTTTGATCAAGAGACACTCCTCTACAAAAATCAATGCAATCAACTAGCCCACACGGGCAGTTCAGATGGTTTCTGGGTGGTAGATTGTGGGTAAAGACACAAGATTGAGCCTGACAGTGTGGGAGTTGCACCGAATGTGGTGGACTCCTTGTGGGCCCCAGACATTGGTCCTCCCACCTAATGAACAGCTGAGTCACCGTGATTTACCCCTCTACTATTTTGTCGGGCCGGAGTGTGGGGACCTTAGGGGCGAGGGAATTTCGCCTATTGTGGGCAAGGGGAAGGTATCCATTAACTAAATCCAATTAGAGTTGAATTCCCATCATTCAAAGCTCATCATAATGAGACAATAAAAGTGGTGCCTTTACAGTTAATCATCTATAAGGGAGTAATAATTGCCCCAACAAAATGTAGCTGTTGAAAAGTTTAACCCAAAATCCCATAGCTCTCACTCACCAATCACTTCTAATCAGAACTTAGATCCAATTTTAACATAGTTAATGTAACCCTAAGCATTCACTTTATCCCCTTGGTTTGAGCCAGTCACTTTCATTGTGGTCCTTTATCAGCTAGGGTCACAAGACGGGGTTTACTCACACTCGAGAAAGGGTTGTGGAGTTTCCATCGTCATCTAAAAAATTACGCTCAGTTGGTTTTTAGGTACCAAATTATGGGCAAGAACACAGGATCGAATCTAGTAACCCTAGTGTGGGAGCTACATTCAATATGGTTAACTCCTTGTTGGCACTAGGTACTGTCCTCCTATCTAATGGGCCGCTATGTAGGCTCCTTCTGGGCATTAGCTAGGCTAGGTCCTCCCACCTAATGAGTCGCAAAGTCAACGTGAATTACTACATTCACAAATTCTGTCGGGTCGAGGCATAGGGCGAATGATCATATCAAAGCTTAGAACTATAATCATATCAAAGAAATACACACAGGAAAAACAACCTCAAAATTTTAAACATTCCCAAAAAAAAAAGAGCAGAGTTGTGACACACATACAAACAAATATCTCAATACATATAATCACAAACATATGGAAGAGAGAATGAGAGAGGAAGATTACCTTTGATATTGCAGCGGAGATGAGATGAATATAGAGAGAGAGAGAGAGAGAGAAAATAATGTATGTATAAAAGTGTATGTATGCATATATGATATATATATGTGGGTGTTGTACTTGTACAAGCGAGACAGAGAGAGAGAAGAAAAGGAAAGTGGCAGCCAGTAATAATAGTAGTGGCCTAGTGGGTATCCCTAAGCCATGAAAAAGGGGTCAACTACTCATCTCTCTCTCCATGGTCTGTTCCGCCGTATGTATCCCCGCAATTAATATTCTGTTACCCATTTGTATGTATGTATGTATAGATAGATAGAGAGAGAGAGAGAGTGCAGTGCACGAAGGAGGGTGAAAGGCATTAATTATTGAGAGATGTGGCGAAAAGAGAAAAGAGAATAAAGAAAAGGGTAAAAAAAAAAAACAGAATCTCGGGTTCGCCGGAAAGTTAATCTCCGGCGGCACCGGCCGGAAATATGTGTGTGTATTTTGAAGAATGTAGAGAGAGAGAAAAGACAGCGTCTGACAATAGAATCCATGTTGTTGGACACTTGACATTTTTCCGGGGATGGGAATGGGAGGGACAAAGACAAATACAAAGTCAAAACTTCATCTACCTGTCCATACTTTTTTTTTCTTTTTTTTTTTTTTCTTTTGATATATTTTACTTTAAATAGGAATGACAATAGGACAAGGAGTATACTCTCCGTCCCCATTTTTGTTATCCCGACCTTATTTTTATCTCTTTATTTTGGTCGTTCTCATCCTCAACGGGAAATTAGAAATATTCCACATTCTATTCTTATGAAAATTAGGTGGAGATGGAATTTCCCCATCCCGATCAATTCTTAGTCAACGTGTTAAATTATTGTAATTTTTAATAATTAAAAAATAATTTTTAACCAGGATTACGTTGTCTAATGGTATCCAAGTTGGACTTCCAATTGGAAGATTATGAGTTCAAGCCTTAGTGGAGGCGAAAGTATATAAACAAATACTACAATGTAATAGAGCCAGTAACTTTCAAAAAAAATAATAAGAATTTAAGTCATAATTTTAAAAATTAAAATAATGTGTGTGTATATATTTCCTTTTTTTCTTTTAGATTATAATAATTACTCAAAAATTTCTCCATCCATATTTTAAGGATAGTGATCAAGAATGGTGCGAATTGTCATCCATATATTAAACTATTCATAAATCTCCAGAACCCTATTCAAAGACGCGGGAGGAGATAAATCACGAATCACTCAATCAGTCTTCAATTTCCACATTAGTTTATTTATTTTTTATATTTATCTTGTGAACTAATATTTGTGAGAACGAAAAATAAATCAAACTAAAAGAAATTATCTTTTTTTTTTTTAATACTATTAACTCTATTACAATGCAGTTCATAACTGCTTTCTCAATTTACTGAAATACAAAGAGTCAATAGCGCATCCAATGTAGGAGTTTAACTTGGTACCATTGGACCACATGGCCCTTGGTGAAATTATCCTATTTATTTCAATTCCTTAAAAACTTCTCAAAACAATGTATCTATTTTGAGGCATTCGTTGACTAAGTAACTTTAAGTTGTACAAAGTCATTTGACTATATTGAATTGAATCTTATGTCTAAACTTATAAAATTTCTGAATTATTAGTTATCCTCATTAATGTATTATGTAAATGTCAAACTTTTATTTTATTGATTTACTTATACCAATAAAGTTGATATGTTAATGTTAACATGCACATAGTACACCTAACATATTTAATGGTCATATGAGAGATATAATGTGAATCTAATTATAGTATAAAATATATTTTAATTAGTATAATGAATAAATTTGATCAAACAACATAGAAGATTCTTCAATACTTCATACTCCAATCCGATGCCTTTTACCAAATATGAAAAAGTGAAAATATTTTAGTTATTTTAAGGGGTTGAAAAAAAGAAGGAGAAAATTATACTATACTCATAATTTATATATTATACTTTAATTTTTATGAAAAAATTATACTATACTCATAACCTATATAAATCTCCAACAATCTTCTTTCATTTATATAGTAAAATGTACTTGACATTAAAATCAACCATATATTTACTATATAAATACCCAAATATTTATATTTATAAAAATTATAAAAAAAGATATTATTTAATTTTTCTCTCTTGGTCTTACTTCTTAATGTTTACATTTTGACCTACAATAAAATTATTTTTATTCATTAGTTAATGTAAATTGGTTGGTTAAGGGAGTGGACATTATAGGGACTGAAAATGTGAAGGGTAGGCCGTAGGGGGGCACTGGGCAGTGCATAAAAATGTTTAATTTTTATAGGACAAAAATGACAGATGGGGATAGCGACGTGGTCGGCCAAAATGGATAATGGGTGTCTATGGTGTCAACATATATTGTGGTTCGTTGTTGAGCGAAAGGGAAACCCTAATTGCCTAGACATATATATATATATATATATATATATATATATATATATATATATATATAATTTGCCTAAATAGCATGTGCACGCCCACTTTCACTATCATCATTACTTAAGTGTGATTGAGTAAACGTGACTCATTTATCATTAACCAAACATCAAATAGTCGATCATTAAACTTGAGTATTGAATAGTCTTAAGTCTTCTATTTCACTTTTAGAGGTATCTATATTCGACAAGGAATTAGTCATTGTGTCAGACTCCGATCAAAATACGCTAGTCGATCACATCGACCATGGCCGATCGTTCTCGGCCCAAAATGAACAAGTTAGCTAATTGCTAGGGCTCTTCTTGAGCACCCGGGAAGTACATGATCTACCTAAAGACTAGGAATATGAATGGCTTACTTTCCCGTTTTACTGTGTGCGAGGCCCACGTGACACATTGTCTAATCATGTCCCACGCTCCATTTTTCTTGTTTTAGTTTCTGAATATAAGTTTGAAATAAATTATTTTAACCTCATATTTATTTGCCAAATAAAAATAATAATTTAGCTGTTATTTAAAATAAGTTATAAATAGTCATAAAGTCATAATGTTGCATAAAATAAAATGAAATAATAAATAAATGAATTTGTGATCACTAGAGTTTTGGGCAATTAAATATGTAGAAAACGAAAATAGTTGCATGGGGATTGGTGTAAACAACAAAACCCGCTTCCATGTTTTCATATATCACATCAATTCTAAATTCCAAGATTATTATTATTATTATTACTATTATTATTATTATTAAAGGCACTCAAAAACACACAGCATACATATATATGACTATATGAGTATATGACGTCGCACAAACTAATCATGTACAACCAGCTCATGCCCGTTGTATTACTCGAGCACGGAGCCAAAAAAAATTAGAAAAATTATTTCATAAACTCCCAAGAATCCGAGAACTTAAAAGCATCACCATCAGAAGTGAATATCTAATTATTAAAATAGTATTCTGCAGAGCAACTGATAGGAGGCACATGTTTTAATAGAAAGAATACCCTGCAAAGGTTAAGTTAATGGCTGGGAAAAAAAAACACTGCAATGCGCGTTAGGCGCAATTCGCGTCCACTGGGGCGCGTCAGAGTGGGACTTTTATACTACTTTTAACTTCTTCTCTTTTTTTTTCTTTTTTTTTTTAAATGTTAAATTTTGTTTAATTTTTTCTTTTTCTTTTTCACTTACATTTTTATCTCTTTCTTAATCACACTTATTCCTAAGTCCTTCAAATTTGATTGGAGGAAGAAAAAAAGAAATGGATAAACATCATGATCTCTTATTAAATTGAGCAATCAAAGTA